TGTCGTGTACCAAGCAAACGAGTACCGTAGGAAAATTTGCACATTAAAAATGTGTTGAGTAACAAATTCTATGAGTTTTTAAGCAGTCGAGTAGCGAGGTAGGACCGTATCTGGTTGAAGGAATGGATTTGGGATTCGTTTAAAAACTCGATCAGTAATCACTGACACAATTAGTGACTGTTTGAAGTTAGATACGCATCTCTGTTTCAATATCTTATCAAGAGGAACCACTTTTTTCCTTGAGAATACATGCTCAGCTGACACCGTCCCCTGTGAATTTCTTCTATATAGGCATAATACATGGCTGTGAAAGTTGGACCATAAGAAAGGCTGAGCGCCAAAGAATGGAGCCTTTGAACTATGGTGCTGAAGAAGGGTCCTGCGAGTCCCCTGGACTGCAAGGCGATCAAACCGGTCAGTCCTAGAGGAGATCAACCCTGACTGCTCTTTAGAAGGCCAGATCCTGAAGTTGAAACTCAAATACTTTGGCCACCTAATGAGAAGGACTCACTGGAGAAGAGCCCGATGCTGGGAAAGATGGAGGGCATTAGAAGAAGGGGACGACAGAGAAGGAGGTGGCTGGATGGAGTCACTGAAGCAGTAGGCCTGAGCTTAAATAGACTCCAGAAGATGGTAGAGGACAGGAAGGCCTGGAGGAACATTGTCCATGGGGTCGCGATGGGTCGGACACGACTTCGCAACTAACAACAACAACAAGGCATAATACAAATGAGGTATAATTCTGTAACTAGGAGATTAGGTTAAATCGTAAAATCTACAAATGGCCTCAACGTATCTGAGACAAGCCACGATCTCTTTGCACATTTACAAAACAAGCAAGATTTATTCAACATGGCTGTGGTTAAGGATTTCGGAAGAATCTTGATGAGAAGGACTGTGAATACTGTACAATCTCAGGAAAAGTATCTATGGGCCCCCAATATTGTTAGCGTACAAATGATCAGATCTTGGCCGTTCTCTTGGGGGCTGGAGTCCTGGAACATACATGGCCAGCCTTGATAGAACTGCTCAGTATTGCCCTGTCTCTTGTAGGAGAAGCCTTCTCCAGCAGCACCTCAGTTTTGGCAGGATTGTGCCACATTAATTTATTTATTTAGCGTACGGATTCTACAGAGAACTAGCTAGAACTAACATCAGTGATGATGTTATCTAGTTTGAGGAATGAAACGTCTGCAAGAAAACAGCCAAGCTCAGGGAACACCAAGGAACCCCTTATTTCAACCTTTACCTACAAATATTTTCCTTTATTGGATGAAAGTCATTCTGAGATCCAAGTTCTATAGAACTTTGTGTCATGGTTCCAATAGATGAGACCAACTAAAACAGAACTCTGGGGCTTGAGGTTTCCTTTAAGAACATGTTAAAGTGAACATAAAGATTAAACCAGAAACATTCTTCCAGAAGCGGTGAATGCTCCAACACTGGAAGTTTTTAAGAAGAGACTGGACAGCCATTTGTCCGAAATGGTGTAGGGTTACCCAGTGCTTTTTTTGTAAAAAAAAAAAAAAAAGGTGCCTGAACTCACACATGTCATACAACCCGCCTTGCCTACCCTACAAGGTTCCATCCAAAAAAGATGCCGGAACTCCGTTCTGGGCGTTCTATGACAAAAAAAGCCCTGGGGTTATCTGCCTGAGCAGGGGGTTGGACTTGATGACCTCTAAGGTCCCTTCCAACTTTATTATTATTATTATTATTATTATTATTATTATTATTATTATTATTATTATTATTATTATTATTATTATTATTATTATTATTATTATTATTATTCCTTCTGGGCCTAATGGAAAGAGAACTGGGAAAAAAAACTGGAACTCTGATTTTATATATAGTGATGGCAGCAATATTGCTCTATGCACAAAAGTGGAAGGATGCCTCGATTCCCACAAATGGTTACAAAAGCTGATGGAGTTAGCATAGATGGCCAAATTGATTGTGCTGGTAAAAGAAAAGAACATATGTCCTTTTGGAAGGTACTTCTGGACTTTGTGCTTGAGGTAGAAAAAAATATTATGATTTTGGGTTTCACAGATTAGACTGAATTGCCGATATAGAAATGGCTAGTGCATACTACTATAAGCAATGTAAAATGTTGAGGTTTGATTTTAATGTCTGATATTATTGCAACAGTTGGAAGTCAGTGCCTTTTGTTTCTCCCCCCCCCCTTCTTCACACTCTTTTTATTTTCCCTTTTTCTATTATTGTCCCCTACTATTTCCTTTTGTATTTTCATGTTTTATGTTATAAATAAATAAAACTAAATAAGATCGCAAAAAAAGAGAACATGTTTATTGCCTACAAGGTATCGGCACTGTCAAAAGTGAAACCAAGACTAAAGTTCCCTCCAAAAAGTTATAGTATTAGAAAGTTAAACTTCCCACCCCATAGAACTATGCAATCAACTATGTCAGGGGTCTTCAAACTTGGCCCTTTTATGACTTGGGGACTTCAACTGCCAGAATTCCTCGCCCAGCGTGTCTGGCTTAGGAATTCTGGGAGTTGAAGTCCACAAGTCATAAAAGGGCCAAGTTTGAAGACCCCTGAACTACATTTTGCAATAGAATAGTTTGGCAGGTTTTCTAACAGAAAGCTCAGCCTCCCAGTCTAACAAACATAAATGACCTTGGTTCCCATGGGACAGAGAACTGTTTTAAGGTAGCTGAAAAATTCTGCCCCCCCCCCATTCTGGTGGCAACTGAAAACAAGCCAAATGGCTTCATTCAGGTCTGTTTACATGGCCATGACTATTGGGCTTTCAAAACAACTAACAATTGTTGCAGTTGATCTTGGCGCTGAAAAAAGTGTTTTTCACACTTTAATGACCATTGCAGCTTCTTCATGGTCACGTGATCAAAATTCAGACCCTTGACAACTGACTCATATTTATGACATTTGCAGTGTCTCGAGGTCATGTTTTCACCTTATGCGACCTTCTGACAAGCAAAGGGGGAAGCCAGATTCACTTAACAACCATGTTTCTAACTTAACAGCTGCAGTGATTCACTTAACAACTGTGGCAAGAAAGGTCACGAAATGGGGCACTTAACCATTGTCTTACTTAGCAAAGGAAATGTTGGGCTCAATTGTGGTCATAAGTTGAGGACTTCCTTAAGGCAACGGAAAATCACGATTGTTCATACAGAATATATCGCTCTGCAATTTTTCATAAACACTTCTGAAATTTCCTTTTGAGAGAAAATCTTATCGTGGTCTGAAAAGTCCGGAGTCACGTGACTGCCATTGATGACCTTCCAGGTCAACTTCTGACCAGCAAGGTCAATGGGGGAAGCTGGAATTGCTTAATGGCGACAGGACTAACTTGACAATTTCAGTGATTCTGTTAAAAACTGCGGCCCAAAAAAATATGGTAAAACCTGGCGCGACTGACCTAAGCATTTTACTTAGTCTGCAAGGAATTTGAGGATTCTAATCCGAGCCGAGGTTTTGCAAGAAGGACGCCATACAGCTGCGTGGAAGATGGCTTATTTCAAGAGCCACAGAATCTGCCTCTGAAAGGAAGCTACGGATGGGAAGGAAAAGTGGCTTCCACAACGGATGGAATGTTGCTTACAACATGGTTTCCAGTCTCTGTCAATTGTGTACTCTGATAATGGTCCTTTCCTTCCTTCCTTCCTTCCTTTCCTCCCCCCCTCTCTCTCTTTTTTTCTTCACCTTGATGCATCTCCCTTTGTTCTTCTTCCCTTCACCTCTCCTTTCCTTCACCTTCCTTCCTTCCTCCTCTCCTCCTCCTCCTCCCTCTATTCCTCTTTCCCCTTCCTTCCTCTCCCCTTCTTTCCTTCACCTTGATGCATCTCCTTTCTTCCCTTCCTCCTCTCCTCTCCTCCCCTCCCTCTATTCCTTCCTTCCTTCCTTCTTTCTCCCCTCCTCCTCCCTCTATTCTTCCTCTTTCCCCTTCCTTCTTCTTTCACCTTGATACATCTCCTTTCTTCCCTTCCTCCTCTCTCCTCCCCTCCCTCTATTTCTTCCTTCCTTCTTTCTCCTTCTCCTCCCTCTATTCTTCTTCTTTCCCCTTCCTTCCTTTTTCTTTCACCTTGATGCATCTCCTTTCTTCCCTTCCTCCTCTCCTCCCCTCCCCTCCCTCTATTCCTTCCTTCTTTCTCCCCTCCTCCTCCCTCTATTCTTCCTTTCCCCTTCCTTCCTCTCTCCTTCTTTCCTTCACCTTGATGCATCTCCTTTCTTCCCTTTCTCCTCCCCTCCCCTTCCTCTATTCCTTTCTTCTTTCTCCCCTCTTCCTCCCTTATTCCTTTCACTCTCCTTCCTTCCTTCTCTCCTCTTTCTCCCTCTATTCTACCTTTCACTCCCCTCCCTCCCTTCCTTCTCAACTCCCCTCTATTCTTCCTCTTTCACTCCCCTCCCTCCCTTCTTTCTCTCCTCCCCTCTATTCTTCCTCTTTCACTCCCCTCCCTTCCTCCCTCTTCCTAAAAACGCTTAATAACTTTTTTTAAAAAGAGAAGATAACGTGGTTACTACAAAAAAAATATCATATTCCCTACAATACGATATAAAAAAGACATTGCAAGCCCTGTTTCTTACGGCAAGTTCGCCAACCTCCTTTCCTCTTTGCAAAAATCATTTTTCACCATCCCTATCCAAAACCTCCTAAATTTAGCCCAGTGTTTCTCAACCTCCCCCATTTTAAGAAGCGTGGACTTCAACTCCCAGAATTCCCCAGCCCTCCTCTAGAGCCCACCCCCGTTCTAGCGCCCCGAGGATAGGCTTGCGTCCTCCTGGGAGGCGGGGAAAGAAGAATTCTCGGCGCGTGACGTCATCGCCATGACAACCTGCCAACTGTAACGCAACTGCCTGGCCCGCCAGCTGCAATTTGAGCAAAGCCCCCGCGACGCGTGGAGGGCAGGAGAGACCAAGCCCCCCCCCCCCCCAAAAAAAAATAAAAATAAAAATTGCATTTTGTTTTATTTTTAAATCAGAGCTCGTTGCATGCTGCAAGATCATCGATGGAAGCGTCTTTCGTGGAAGAAGTGGCTGCATCTTTAGTGAGAGAGTTCCTGAGCAAAAAGGTGAGGGGGGGGGCGCGGGAAAGGATGGGGTGGGGGGAAGGAAAAGACTCGGGACACCCCCTCCCTCGGGTGTGCCCAACGTGGAGAAGAGCCGGATTCCTCCGGGGACTACATTTCCCACAATGCATTGGGGGGGGGGTGACAAGGCGGAGAAAGACATTCCTCATTTCCATAGGCAAACGGTGGACCATTTGTGTTTGTAATTAATTTTTAGTAAATAATTTTGTTTCCAGAACAAAATCTATACAAATTTAAAGAAAAAAAGAAAGCAAAGAGAAGTAAAAGAAAAGGGATGAGTAGATAAGTAGAGAAAGAGAGAGAGAAAGAAAGAAAGAAAGAAAGAAAGAAAGAAAGAAAGAAAGAAAAGGAACAAGGAGGGCTTTGAATCTTCTTTACAGCAGATAAAATAACCTTTATTGCCATTTTTTACTGTGAGCACACTGGCACCCACTAAAAATGAAATTCTGTTGCAAAATAAATGTATCATTATTTTACCCTTAAGGCTATATTGTCCTCCCTTCTTTCCTTATTTTGTCCTTTCTAAGCATCATTTCCATAAATCAGAACTTCATTTTTTTCTGTTTTCAGCAAAAAGTCCATAAAGAGGTCCCAGTTATTAACAAGTAGAATACCAGTGTTTTTCAGCAAGGTCACAAATGGAGATGTAGGGACTCCAGTTCCCAGAATTCTCAGTAATGACCCTGCAAGAGAATTCTGGGAATTGGTCTGTGCGTCTTAAAGCATGGGGGAGGGGGATTCTGGGACTTGAAGTTCACCCAACTTAAAGCATGCCAGTTAGTGCACTCTGGGAGTTGAAGTCCACATATCTTTAAAGCATGCAGGCTGGGGAATTCTGGGAATGGAAGTCCATACATTTTAAACCTCTTTAAGACAGGGGTCTTCAAACTTGGCCCTTTTATGACTTGTGGACTTCAACTCCCAGAATTCCTCAGCTGAGGAATTCTGGGAGTTGAAGTCCACAAGTCATAAAAGGGCCAAGTTTGAAGACCCCTGTCTTAAGTTATGAAGGTTGAGAAATAGGGTGGCAACAGCTTTTCTGAATTATTATTTCTGATTTCTAAGTTATGGTATGAAGACTGAGGTTTCTTTCTGATGCTGATTATGGCATTGTCTCTTTCCTGGGTAGGGCTTGAAGAAGACAGGCATCATGATGGACGAAGAATTTCCCCGTACGGCACTTAGCATCAACAACAGAAATGAACTCCGAAATGTTTTGCATCTCCAGTCTTTATACAAACAAAACAAGGTAAAACAGGATAGCGTTTCTGCACAAGGTGTCTTCAAGACTTTGGGAGTTATAAGTAAGTCTCTTGATGGGATAAACCGTCTGCAAGGCTTGAGATAGAGTCACAGAATTAGGCAATTGGAAGGGGCCACAAGGCTCAACTATTCTAATCCCCTGCAATGTGCAAAAATGACACCATCCACAAGTTACAGTTTTCAGTTTCTTCTTTAAAAACTCCAGAAAATGAGAGTTAATGATCTCAGGGACTAAGGAGAAATTTCCTCACACTGAGAACAATTAATCAGGGGGTGCTTTAGAAGTTGTGGGTGTCCCATCACTGGAGGTTATTAAGAAAAGACTGTCTGAAATGGTATAGGGTCTCCTGCTTGAGGTGGGGGCTTGACTAGGAGACCTCCAAGATCCCTTCCAACTCTATTATTCTGGACTGAATTGGTACCACCCCACTTAGGCCCTGAATGTCCGTTAATAAGCAAGGCAATTGCTAAGTGAGTTGACCCAATTTTATTTTTTTGCTAAAGTTGTTAAGGGAATTACAGGTAGTCCTCAACTTATGAACACAAAATTGAGGCCAAAATAAAGATAAAGAGAGGGAGAAGGAGGGAGGGAGAGAGAGAGAGAGAGAGAAAGAGAGGGATAAAGAAAAAGAAAGAAAGAAAGAAAGAGAAAGAGAAAAGAAAGAAAGAAAGAAAAAGAAAGAAAGAAAGAAAGAAAGAAAGAAAGAAAGAAAGAAAGAAAGAAAGAAAGAAAGAAAGAAAGAAAGAAAAGAAATAACTGATCAAGGAGAGAAGCAACTTAGAACTAAGGAGAAACTTCCTGACAGTTAGAACAATTAACCAATGGAACAACCTGCCTCCAGAAGCGGTGAATGCTCCAACACTGGAAGTTTTTAAGAAGAGACTGGACAGTCATTTGTCCAAAATGGTATAAGGTTTCCTGCCTGAGCAGGGGGTTGGACTCGATGACCTCCAAGGTCCCTTCCAACTTTATTATTATTATTATTATTATTATTATTATTATTATTATTATTATTATTATTATTATTATTATTATTATTATTATTATTAGTCACTGGTTTACTAATAAACGTGTTGCTCTAATTTAGGGGTCTTCAAACTTGGCCCTTTTATGACTTGTGGACTTCAACTCCCAGAATCCCTCAGCCAGGCACGGTCTGAGGAATTCTGGGAGTTGAAGTCCACAAGTCATGAAGGGGCCATAGTTTCCCCCATGCTGGCTGAGGAATTCTGGGAGTTGAAGTCCACAAGTCATGAAGGGACCATAGTTCCCCCATGCTGGCTGAGGAATTCTGGGAGTTGAAGTCCACAAGTCATAAAAGGGCCAAGTTTGAAGACCCCTGCTCTAATTTAATACTACATAATTTTGTTTTAAAATATCACAAAGCAGGAGACTTGAACCCAGAACACGTAGGCTAGAAATCAACTCTTTTGTCTTTTGCCAACAGTAAAATCGAGATAGACTAATTCTAATGGCCCATTTATCTTACTTTTTCTGCTGCAGGCAAAGGAGACTCCTTTCAAAACCATTCTGGAGATCATGGCGAGCTATTTTCTGGAGCTCCAGATTAACCAAAGCTTCCTGGGAAATTCCTCATTTCTGGAAAACAAAGCTTCTCACTCAAGAAGTACAGAGAGTTTTCCTCCTAAGAATTTTCTCTCTGGAGAAGCCACTGGAGGGCAAACAGCAGCTGAAAAAATTAAAAAAGGGACTCCCAGGTATATATAACTTTTAGCATTTGATCCTAAATCTTTAGATGGCAGTCATTAACTCAGGGGTCTTCAGACTTGGCCCTTTTATGACTTGTGGACTTCAACTCCCAGAATTCCTCAGCCAGCATGCCTGGCTGAGGAATTCTGGGAGTTGAAGTCCACAAGTTATAAAAGGGCCAAGTTTGAAGATCCCTGCTTGTGGACTTCAACTCCCAGAATTCCTCAGCCAGGCATGCTGGCTGAGGAATTCTGGGAGTTGAAGTCCATAAGTCATAAAAGGTCCAAGTTTGAAGACCCTTGCATTAACTGATTGCTGCAGACAGGAAGTCCTTGATTTATGACTGTAAATTAGCCCAGAATTATGGTGATAAGTCTTGGTGGTCATTAAGTAGTCATTATATGATTGTGTCCAATTTTATGACCTTTGTGACAGTGGTCATTAAGCAAACACTGCTGTCGTAAAACGAATCCACTGTCTGCAGTGGCTGGTTTTTTTGCTGGAAACTGGAAGCACGGATGGTCCTCTACAACCACAATTAAATCCAAAATTTCTGTTGCAAAGTGAGACAGTTGTTAAGTGAGTTTTGCCCCATTTTACAACCTTTTTTGCCACAGTCGAATCACTGCAGTTGTTAAGTTAGCAACATGGTTGTTAAGTGAATCCGGCTTCCCCCATTGACTTTGCTTGTCAGGAGGTTACAAAAGGGGACTATGTGACCTTGGGACTCTGCAACCGTCATAAATATGAGTCACTTGGCAAGTGTGTAAATTTTGATCACATGACCACAGGGATGCTACAACGGTTGTGTGAAAAATTGTTCGTAAGTCCATTTTTTTCAGTGCCGTTGTGACTTGGAATGGTCATTAAACAAACGATTATAAATTCAAGGACCTGTGAAGGTCAGTTTTTGGCAAAAAAACGGTCATGAATTGCTGTCATGTAATGTGACTGTGGGAAACAGCTGTAAATGCAGACCAGATGTTGGGTGTCCAAAATGTGATCATGTGACTGTGGGGGAGGGAAGCTGGTCATCAGAACTTTGTTTTTTGGGTCCATCGTAACTTAGAGTACAGTTAGTCCTTGAGTTATGAACACAATTGAGCCCAGAATTTATGTTGCTAAATGACAAATTTGTTAAGTGAGTTTTGCCCCATTTTACCACTTTTCTTGTCACATTTTGTTAAGTGAATGACTGCCGTTGTTAAGTTAGTCACACAGTCGTTAAGTGAATTTGGCTGCCCCCATTGACTTTGCTTGTCAGGAGGTCACGTGACCCCGGGACACGTGACCCCGGGGACACGGCAACCATCGTTAAGTACGAGCCAGTTGCCAAGCGTCTGAATGTAAATCACGTGACCATGGGGATGCTGCAATGGTCATAAGCGTGGAAAGTGGTCACTGTTTTCAGTGCCGTTGTAACTTTGAACAGTCGCTAAATGAACTGTTGAATGTCGAGAACTTCCTCTATTTGCTATACAAATGGTTGTAAGTTGAGAAGCAACCTAGAACTAAGGAGAAACTTCCTGACAGTTAGAACAATTAACCAGTGGAACAACCTGCCTCCAGAAGCGGTGAATGCTCCAACACTGGAAGTTTTTAAGAAGAGACTGGACAGCCATTTGTCTGAAATGGTATAGGGTTTCCTGCCTGAGCAGGGGGTTGGACTAGATGGCCTCCAAGGTCCCTTCCAACTTTATTATTATTATTATTAACTACTTGTATTAGTGTAAAAATTCACAATTTGCCATTTTCTCTCTTTATGCTTTATGATAAAAATGATGAAAAAGCTGCAGGCCTTGTAACTGGAGGTTTCCAGGAAAAAGATTGGATGGCCATTTTTACGGGATGATATAAAGATTGCTTGCACTAGGCAGGGGTTGGACTAAATGACCTCCGAGGTCCCTTCCCATCTAGGTTGCTATGAATTAACTATTAATTACACGCCAAACTTATTTTTCCCAAAATACCGTTGTCAGATGATTAAAACATATCTGTTGCTTCCTCTCCTTAAAGGGCCCAATGATACAGCTTTCAAACTTCAAAAAGTCTGTAGTTTGATGCAATTATTCACAGATAGGAACAGGACTGACCGGGATAGAGAAAATTAATCCAAACTAGATGATGCAGAAATTATTTGCTTCATCTTCGTCAGCTATTAAAAAAACATCTTCCTGTATCCAATGCTCCAACACTGGGAGTTTTTCAAGAAGAGGCTGGACAGCCATTTGTCCGAAATGGTATTGTTTCCTGCCTGAGCAGGGGGTTGGACTAGATGACCTCCAAGGTCCCTTCCAACTCTATTATTATTATTATCCAGACAGTTCAACTGAGGGCAGGTACACAGATAGTCCTTGACGTACGACCACAATTGAATCCAAAATTTATACTGCTAAGTGAGAAATTAAGTGAATTTTGCCCCATTTTACAAACTTTCTTGCCACAGTTGTTAAGTGAATATTTACTTTGTTAATTTAGTAACACGGTTGTTAACTGAATCTGGCTTCCCCCATTGACTTTGCTTGTCAGAAGGTCGCAAAAGGGGATCACTTGAACCCGGGACACCGCGACCGTCCTAAATATGAACCAGTTGTCAAGCATCCAAAGGTAAATCATGTGACTATGGGGATGCTGCAATGATCATAAGTGTAAAAAATGGCCATTAAGTCACTTTTTTTCAATGCCATTGTAACTTCGAACCGTCACTAAATGAAGAGTTGTAAGTCAAGGATTATCTGTATTCAGGCATGTCTTATTTACAAATAAATCAAAATACAGTCTTACCCAAAGAGTCATTTTCTGTGTGAAAAGTGTTATATAAAAATGATCGATAAATAAATGATAAGAGAATAGATGACAGATAATAGATGTTAGATAACAGATGATAAATAGATGATAGAAAATAGATAACAGGTAGATAATAGATAACAGATGATAGATGATAATTGAGATAAATAGATGGACAGAAAGATAGATGTGTGTGAATACACCTGGAGTTCTGCAACTGGTAAATCAATCAGCACGGTTGATTTAAAGAAACAAAACTTTAATAATGGTTAATCTTTACTAGCTAAAAGTTCAAGGCATGTTTCCAGAGCCTTTTGCCTTTTAACTAAATGTGTTAATTAGAAGATGCACTGCTCAACCCTTTCTGAATTCCCACAAGATTAATAATATACATTAAATGACATTCCTGAAACTTACAATTTGGGATTGCCAAATATTAAAAGATGAATTCTGTAGTTATAGTAAATGAACGGGAGGTGTGATATAACATGCTTTCTGTGGTGTATTTTTCAAATGCTGATTGTTTTGAATAATTCATTCTTTGTGGATTAAGTCTGAACAATGAATAGATGGTCATATAAACACTCAGAACCAAGATCTATAGCCCGGCCCTTAGTGTAAATCAGTGTTTCACCCAGAATTTTCCAGCCAGCATGCATGATCTGCAGCTCCCAGAATTCCCCAACCAATATGATTGGCTGGAGAATTCTGGGAATTGAAGTCCACACATCTGAAATGTGCTGTGGTTGAGAAACACCAGTATAAGTCCTATAATAGATTGTAGAACCATAGGATTGGAAGGGACACGTGAGGTCTTCTAGTCCAACCTTCCCTCCCCAGTACTGTATAACAGTGGTCTCCAACCTTTCCAAAGTTGCGGACCGGTGGGGGGGGGGAGGAAAGAGGGGGATGATTCCATGCAGAGGGCAAGTGAGCACGTGCGTAAGCGCAGCTCATTTGCACAAATGGCAGATGCGTGCACTCACTGTTTGTGCAAATGGAGCTACATGTGCTCGCCCGCTGCTTCCGCAGCCCAGTAGTGGGGCTAGAGCCCAGGGATTGGGGACCCCTGCTGTATAGAGATCCCCCTGCTATTCCAAGCAAATGGCTCTCTAGTCACTCTTAATTTCAGGAGGCAGCTGGATTCATTCCCCTCAGCCAGAGGCTCTGAGGAGCCTTAACATCCGTTTCTGACCAGTCTACCTTACAGGGTTGTTGTTGGGATAACGGCCGTTTTCTGAATGCTACCTTGGGAACAGAGAAAAGACAAATGATGTATTTAAGTCACAGGGGTCTTCAAACGTGGCCCTTTTATAACTTATGGACTTCAACTCCCAGAATTCCTCAGCCAGGCACGCTGGCTGAAGAATTCTGGGAGTTGAAGTCCACAAGTCATAAAAGGGCCATGTTTGAAGACCCCTGATTTAAGAACTCCAGATTCTAATTTGCCTGTCTCAGCTTATGAATGGAAGGCTGCCTTGCATGGTTATTAAGGGCTGGGGGCTTCTGTCTCAAGTCCACAGTGCAAATGCATGCTTTTTTTCTGCCTCTGCAAGCAAAGGGTCTTTCCCTTTGGAGAGAAGGGAGTCTTTTAAAGCGACCTCGCTGTTGCAGATTTAAAAACGAACAATATTTAGATGGAAAGAAAAGCCCTTTTCGAGTTACAGCCACCCACGGCTGCTTACAAAAAGGCGGAACCGCTTCACCAATACGGACAGCCCCAACCCTTTCTGACGCAGCCTCACTCACACAACCTCCCCACTCCCTCCCACCGCGACCGGGCTGCGGCTCAGAATGGAGCGTCCATCTGCAGGCGCTTCGTATTTATAGTCTCTGGCCGAGCATGCGCATTCCCCTCCAGATTCTGGGTGCCGGCCCGGAAGAACGCGGGGGTAAGTACAATAGACTAGCTGGGAAAGGCGGCCTCCTGCCCCGCCCCTCTTCAGTGCAGCCAATGGGAAGCGTCGTACCTTGGATGCTCTGGTTTGTTTCTCTATGGTGAGAGCTTTGGGAAGGAGGGAGGGAAGAGATTGCTCTCTGCGCAAACGCAGATGATAATTTCTTGGACTCCTTACTGCCACCTTTAGGCCTTGTGTAGCATTGCAGTCCCGCTCTAGTGAGTTCCTTTTCCCCTTGATGTTTAAAAGCAGGTAGAGAAGCTACAGGTGAAGTTTGCTTCGCCTGAAAAGACTTATAGAGGAGGTTCTTCCTGTTGAACTTCTGCTTGGCAGGTAGAATGTAGGCAACCAGGACCTTTCTGATAAATAGTTGAGCTGTTCTTTTAATAAAACAGTTGGAGATCAATTAACAAATCATTTGTAGGCAGTCTCAATTTATGACCACAGCGGAGCCCAAAATTTCTATTGCTAAGCGAGACAGTTGTTAGGTGAGATTTGCCCCATTTTATGGCCTTTCTTGCCACAGTTGTTAAGCGAATCACTGCAACTGTTAAAAAATCGCAATAGCAACAACAGTAGCACATACACGGCTTCATAGTGGTTTACAGCCCTCTCTAAGTGGTTTACAGACTCAGTCTATTGCCCCCCAACAATCTGGATCCTCATTTTATCGATCCTGGGAGGATGAAAAGATGAATCAACCTTCAGTCAATGAGGATCAAATTCCTGACAGTCATCAGAATTAGCCTGCAATACTGCATTCTAACCACTGCACCACCACGGCGCAAAAGTAACATACTTGTTAAGTGAATCTGGCTTCCCCATGGACTTTGCTTGTCAGACGATTGCAAAAGGGGATCACGTGACCCCGGGACACCGCAACCGTCATAAGTACATGTCAGTTGCCAGGTATCAGGATAATGTGACCACGGGGATGCTGCAATGGTCGTAAGTATGAAAAATGATCATAAGTCACATTTTTCAGTGCCATTCGAACAGTCACTGAGCAAACATTTATAAGAATTACCTGTACACCAGAGGTCAGTAACTATGACAACTTTGCAACTTGTGGATTTCAACTCCCAGAATTCCTGAGCCAACATGGAGACCTAATAGTTTTACTTTATTGTAATTTTAGATATCCTATGTAATATAATTTAGTGCTTACATTATAATTTAATATATGTCCTGTATTTCACCTGTTAGGTGCCAGTTAGTTTATTTTACAAGTGTATTTTAATTACGTCTTAAATTTTCTTTGTTTATTATCTGTACCGGTCTTTGGCCACCACAAACTGAACTGAATCGACTGCCTTAGCTGTGCTGAATGATGTCCATCATTAGCACACAGTGCAATTTCAAATCATTTCTTATCTGAAAATTCATTTCTTTAATCTTTTCAGCCTTGAGCTTTTATTGAGATGTGTCGTTGGCCAGGCTTGATTATTTTTATTTCACTGATCCTTCCAACTCTGCGGGTTTTTTTTTTTTTAGCTATGAGACCAACGAGGGAATAAGCTGCCTGTCCAGAAGGCATTGTCCCAAGCCAAGTGAGAAGGGCAAGGCGAGAGCCACGTCAGATGGTCAGGCACAGGCCGAAGGAGAGAAGAAACTCTGTGATCCTCTGGATGTGTCGCAGATTCCCAAAGAATTGTCTACGGAGACCAGGATGGCATTGAGGGAGAAACTGCGCGGCCAGCAAGGAAGGATAGCTGCTTCCACGGATGAATCTCAAGAGGTTTTGACTTTACTCTTAAATAGTTTCTCTTCCCTTCTTCCTCCTCTTCCTCCTTTTCTCCCCCTCCTCCTTCTTAAATCTATTTATTTACTATCTGTACCCAGCCACGCGTTGCTGTGGCTCAGTCTGGCGTGTGTTGCTTTTACGTCCAACAGATGGCGCTGTTTTTCAAAAAAAGCATGTTTTTACCTGTCACAGGTGTGACATCTATATAATATAGGTATATAAAAACACGCGCGTATTCGAATGCAACGTTGTGTCAAAATTTCAAAGCAATCGGTGAAGAACTTTCGGAGATTTAAGATTTTGAACAAACAAACATTTACATTTTTATTTATATAGATTTTACAGGCAGTCCTCAACTTAGAACTGTTTGTTTAGTGACTGTTCAGAGTTACAACGGCAGTGAAAAAAAGTGATTTATCACCATTGTTTATACTTACAACCCTTTGTGGCATCCCCACGGTCGCATGATCGAAATTCTGACCCGTGGGAACTGACTCGTATTTATGACGGTTGCAGTGTCCCAAAGTCATGTGAACAGCTTTTGCAACCTTCTAATAAGCAAAGTCAGTGAGGAAACCAGATTCACTTAACACACATGTTACTAACTTAGTAACTGCAGAGATTCACTTAACAACTGTGGCGAGAAAGGTTCTAAAATGGGGCAAAAGTCATTTAACAAGTGTCTTACTTAGCAACAGAAATTTTGAGCTCAATTGTGGTCGTAAGCTGAGGATGGCCTGCATTTTCCTGCATTTCTACAGCACATGTTGTCTTCCAAAGGACTAAAAAAAAATCCTATTTAATTTGACTTCCCTCCCCCACCCCCAAATTTAAAGCAGTTTTCGCAGAACATGTTACTTTGGCAATGCTTATGCTACAGAGAGATTTCAATTAACTGCATTTCTCCATTGTTGCTTAAATAGCTAGGAAGAACAGGATAATTCTACATCTTACTGTGCTCTCAGATACCAATTCATATAGTCTAGTGTGGTTCTGCATAGCAGCCTTAAAATATGTTCCTGTGTCACAAATCACTTTTAATGAGCACCCATGCCTACCATTATTTTAGAGTGTTTTATATTAGATTTATTGTATTATTTGTATAGTACAATAAATCTTATACAAAATTTCATTGCAGGAACTGGGTGTACTTAGTCTAGTGAAAAGAAGAAGTAGGGGGTGACATGGAGCAGTTTTCCAATATCTGAGGGGCTGCCACAAAGAAGAGGGAGTCAAGCTATTCTCCAAAGCCCCCGAAGGCAGGACAAGAAGCAACGGGTGGAAAGTAATCAAGGAGAGAAGCAACTTAGAGCTAAGGAGAAACTTCCTGACAGTTAGAACAATTGATCAGTAGAACGACTGGCCCCCAGAAGTTGTGGGTGCTTCATCACTGGACGTTTTTAAGAAGAGACTGGACAACCATTTGTCTGCAATGGTATAGGGTTTCCTGCTTGAGCAGGGAGGGGGGTTGGACTAGAAGACCCCTAAGGTCCCTTTCAACTCTATTACTGTTATTGTATTAGGTAGATTTATTGTTGTGTTTTTATGTCCATTTTTTTGTTTTTATCCATCCTTGTTCGTTTTAGACTTTTTAGCTTTTTGTCCAATTTAATATTTGTATTTTTTTATATTTTTAATTTTTTTGTACACTTCTTTCCCTAAGCTGGTCTTTGACCATAATAAAGATTGATTTCATTTGAAATAAGACACAAGGAGTTGCTAGGTTTTAGCCCTGCCATAGGCACAAAAACTAGCTGAGTGACTTTGCGCCAATCACAAGGAAGTAGTGAGTTCTAGTCCTACCTTAGGCATGAAAGCCAGTTGGGTGACTTTGGGCCAATCCCCACTAGATCATGAATTCTAATCCTGCCTTGAGCCTGAAAGTTGACTGAGTTTTAAATGAAACTCCTTTTTATGTCCTTTCTTTCCACAATTGTTAAATGAATCACCACAATTGTTAAACTAGATCGCACATTGACTTTGCTTGTCAGAAGGTCACAAAAAGGGATCACATAACCCAAGAACACTGCAGCCCTCATAAATATGGGTAGAGCTGCCAAGGGCCCAAATTTTGAAAACTTTATCCTGGAGATATTGCAACGGTTGCAAGTGTGAAAAACAGACATAAGTCAGTGCCATTGTAACTTTGGATGATCGCTAAATGAACTGTTGTAAGTCGAGGATTGCCTTTTAAAAGCACATGTTTTTTCAATTTTTTTTACTAATTTTCTATTATTACATTTGATTAGTGCTTAATAAACATCGTGTTGTCTGGTTTAATTTGTTTGCTTAATAATACAAGTTACACTCTTAGTCTCTACCCCTTTTTTCCAACCATTGCTAAAATAAATTCCATGTTTGAAAATATTCTGTATCTTTTTTCTCTTTGATCCTCAATGTAAGTCTGTCCATTTCAGCACAGTCCAATATCTTCTTGATTATCTCTTCACCTAGTGGTGTTTCTTCATTCTTCCAATACTGAGCAAATACAATCCTCGCTGCTGTTGGCACATGCAATGTTAAATGTGGTTTGCTTATCAAGTTTTTATGGTATTATACCTAATAAGAAAAGTTCAGGTTTAAAATCTACATGTTTTCCTAACATCTTTTCTAACCAAGTGTGTATTTTTGTCCAATTTTTTTTTACTTTAACACAGGTCCACCACAAATGTGCCAGATTTTTGGTTACATTTCCAACATTTACTAGACCTATTTTTAAAATATTTTTGCTAATCTAGCAGGTAGCAAGTGCCATCTATAAAACATCTTATGTAAGTTTCCTTTCTAAGAAGTTGCCACTGTCAATTTATAATTTCTTTCCCAAAGATCTTTTTTCCTTTTAAAAACACATGTTTTTAAGAAGCAGTATCCTTATTACACTTCCGATCAATTGCTGTCTCAGACAGGTGTTTTTTTTCTATACAAACATAATGCTTTAAGTTGACACCTCCCATGTGGCTTTGGTGCTCCCTACAGGATTCCTTAAAGAGAAGGCACTTGAAGCGGCTATCTGGAATTTGCAGCCCGTCCGAATTCGGCCAGGAAGCCACCTTTAAAAGTTCCACAAGCCTCCCGGGTCACTCCATCGAGAGAACCATAATTCCCAGACCGTTGGACGAACTCCTGTCTGCCCGCAGCGAGCGTTCCCTCGACGCTCGTCAGAATAGTTCGCCCAACTCTCCTTCGACTCGGTGTGCAAAGAAAGATGACTCAACAGTCCAAAATGTGGACAGTTCTGGAGATGACCCCTTGACCAAGCCGGGACTGGACAGGCCAGCTGAAGCAAAGAAAATTGCATCCGGGTATGATGCTTACGAGAAAAGGCGCCCCTTGGATGTTTTTCGGAAGGAGATGGGAAACCGGAGCGGCGTGAAATCTTTGCAGAAAAATGAGGCTCCGTTTACCGACCTCAGGTCAGCTCCCGGGGGGGGGGGATTTCTGTTAAATGAAGCGTTTTAAAAATGCATGTCACACACGTGGCTGAAGACTCACACAAACATTGTTGATAAAGTAATAGTAGTAGTAGTAGTAGTAGTAGTAGTAATAGTAATAATAATAATAATAATAATAATAATAATAATAATAATAATAATAATAATAATAATAATAATAATAATAATAAAAAGTTGGAAGGGAGCTTGAAAGCCATCTGGTCCAACCCCCTGCTCAGGCAGGAAACCCTATACCATTTCAGACAAATGGCTGTCCAGTTTCTTCTTAAAAACTTCCAGTGTTGGTGCATTCACCGCTTCTGGAGGCAGGTTGTTCCACTGGTTAATTGTTCTAACTGTCAGGAAGTTTCTCCTTAGTTCTAGGTTGCTTCTCTCCTTGATTAGTTTCCACCTGTTGCTTCTTGTCCTGCCTTCAGGCGCTTTGGAGAATAGCTTGACTCCCTCTCCTTTGGGGCAGCCCCTGAGATACTGGAAGACTGCTATCATGTCCCCCCTCGTCCTTCTCTTCGTTAAACTAGACAGACCCAATTCCAGCAGCCGTTCTTCGTATGCTTTACCCTCCAGTCCCCTGATCATCTTTGTTGCTCTTCTCTGCACTCTTTCTAGAATCTCAACATCTTTTTTACATCGTGGTGACCAAAACTGGATGCAGTATTCCAAGTGTGGCCTTACCAAGGCATTGTAAAGTGGTATTAACACTTCACGTGATCTTGATTCTATCCCTCTGTTGATGCAGCCCAGCACTGTGTTGGCTTTTTTGGCAGCTGCAGCACACGGCTGGCTCATATTTAGGTGATTGTCCACTAGGGCTCCGAGGTCCCTCTCACAGTTACTACTATTGAGCAAGGCACCCCCTATACTATACCTGTACATTTGGTTTTTCTTGCCTAAATGTAGAACCTTGCTACATTTGCTATATTTGTGTGCAAAATGATTGAGAGCTTAAAATTGCCATACTTGCTCACCAGAGTCTGCCATTTGTGGAAACCCATCAGCTTTTCTGCAAACAAGTACAGGGAAGGGGTCCCTGACCTACAACCACAGTTGAGTCCAAAATTTCTGTGGATAAGCAAGACAGTTGTCCGTTGAGTTTTGCCCCATTTTACGACCTCCCTTGGCAATGTTGTTAAGTGAATCACTGCAGTAGTTAAGTTAGTAACACGGCTGTTAAGTGAATCTGGCTTCCCCCATTGACTTTGCTTGTCAGAAGGTTGCGAAAGGGGATCACATGACCCCGGGACACGGTGACCGTTGTAAATATGAACCAGTTGCCAAGTGCCTGAATTTTACTCACGTGACCACAGGGATGCTGCAACGATCATGTGAAAAATGGTCATAAGTCATCTTTTCAGTGCTGTTGTAAATTAGAATGGTCATTAAATGAACGGTTGTAAGTCGAGGTAGTAATTCTAGTGAATTCTATTTTTTAAGGCGCGATGAGTAGCAAAAACAATGAATACCAAACAGATTTTTCAGATAAGGAATACAAGTAGTCCTCAAGTTACAACAGTTTGTTTAGTGGCCATTTGAAGTTACAACAGCACTGAAAAAAGCAACTTATGACCGTTTTTCACACTTAACAATGGTTACAGCATCCCCAAGGTCCCATGATCAAAATTCAGAAGCTTGGCAACTGACTCATATTTATGACGCTTGCACAGTGCCAGGAAACTGGATTCACTTAACAGCCATGTTACTAATGGCAAGAAAAGTGGTAAAACAGGGCAAAATTCACTTAACAACAGAAATTTTGGGCTCAGTTGTGGTCGTAAGTCGAGGTTTACCTGTATTCTAAACATAGGATATTTTAGGGGCGGCCATGTATCAGGAAGACCACAAGAGGGCAGTCTTCTCAAAATAATTTTGCTCCCAATTCTTTGTTTTTTTTCTCTTGGCAATCCGTCTGAGTCAGTAGCAACTGAGATTTGTTATCAAATCATGTTATCAAAACTGGAGCAAAAATCGCCTCTTAAAATTGTAACAAACTCTGATAAATCTTTTCCTGTAAAACACAGTAGATTTGAAGGATGGGGAACTTCTCAGCTTAGAAAACAAGATAACAACAAGAAGAGGATTTGCAAAGTTATAAGGGCCTGGGATTCTGGAAGGAAAAAAAGGAAGGATAATTTATAGATAGTCCTTAAGAATGGAATGGAATGGAATGGAATAGGATAGGACAGGACAGGACAGGACAGAACTAGAATAGAATAGAATAGAATAGAATAGAATAGAATAGAATAGAATAGAATGGAATGGAATGGAATGGAATGGAATGGAATAGAACAGAATAGAAAATATGGAATGGATGGAATGGAATGGAATAGAATAGAATAGAAAATATGGAATAGAATAGAATAGAATAGAATAGAATAGAATAGAACAGAATAGAATAGAACAGACATGTCAAACACAAGGCCCGGGGGCCGGATGCGGCCCGCAAAGTGGTTTCATGTGGCCTGTGAAGCCATCCTGGAAACAGCGAGGAACCAGGAGAACCTTGAGCAGCAGCCTTGAGGAAGTGGGGCTGGGCTTGGTGCCGCGGGTGCTCGAGGGCCAGGCTGGATATTTGACCTCTGCTGCCCAGGGCTCCCGGCAGCCCACGCCACCATCCAGCCCCCCCCCCCCCGGTGCATGGCCTGAGAGGAACAATGAGGCTCCTCCAGTGGACCATGCCTTGGCGCTTGCCCCGGTCCCACCCCCTTCTGCCAGAGACCCTCAGATCTGTCCCACTCCTGCCCAGGCCCCCACAGGCACCCTTGACGCGAACGATGTAGAGCTGGCCACGCCCACCCAGTAGGCCACACCCACTCCCTCCACGCCCACCCAGTAGGCCGCACCCACCTTGGCCACACCCACCCGGCCCCCTGAGGGCAATCGCAATGCTGATACGGCCCTCAATGAAATTGAGTTTGACACCCTGGAATAGAAAATATGGAATGGATGGAATGGAATGGAATGGAATAGGATAGGATAGGATAGGATACAACAGAACAGAACAGAATTAGAACAGAAATAGATTAGAATATAGAATAGAATATAGAATAGAATAGGATAGGATAGGATAGGATAGAATAGAATAGGATAAAATAAAATAGAAAATATGGAATGGATGGAATGGAGTAGAATAACAAAATTGGAAGGGACCTTGGAGGTCTTCTATCCAACCCCTTGCTCAGGCAGGCTTAGTGACCATTTAACTTAGCCTAGTGACCATTTGAAGTTAAGCTGGACCTCACTAGAGCTACTTTCAATCTGGGTTCAAAGTTCCAGTGACCCTTTCCAGGATCACACCATTATATTTTGGATGCTTGGTTACCGGCCCACAAATATCGTTGTTTGCAGCGTCACCATTTATAACATTTTCCCCTGCAGGAAACCGGCACTTATTTCTGATTTCCAGAAAAAAAAATGCCCATTAGGTAATAACGATGGCATACCCTTAACAACTGGCATAAAAAACTTAATAAATAAACCACCATTGCAAAAATGTTGTAAAATTAAGCCACTTAGGGATCAGCATGACTTACAAGTATAATTCTCAGCTCAATTATGGTCATAAGTCAAGGACTATATACAACCAAGGAAAAGTTAGAAGGAAGTGCCCCTCTTGTCCTGAAGGCAGGACAAGAAGCAACGGGTGGAAACTCATCAAGGAGAGAAGCAACCTAGAACTAAGGAGAAACTTCCTGACAGTTAGAACAATTAACCAGTGGAACAACCTGCCTCCAGAAGCGGTGAATGCTCCAACACTGGAAGTCTTTAACAAGAGACTGGACAGCCATTTGTCTGAAATGGTGTAGGGCAGTGATGGCAAACCTTTTAGACACCGAGTGCCCAAACTGCAACCCAAAACCCATTTATGTATCATCGGGTGCCAGATGGGTGTGGCTGCGATGGTAACAGCAGACTGGGTGGGACTGAAAAGTTCAATCAATCAATTCCAACTTTGTGAGATTTTTTTTTTCCTGCGAAAAGTTGAAATTGGTTGACTGATTGAACCTTTTTTTTTTTTTTGCACACGGCGGCGGAGGCCTAAAGCGAAAAGATTTTATAAAACCCAACTGAAGGCCTAGGACTGGGGTGACGGCGCGCATGCCCACAGAGAGGGCTCTGTGTGCCACCTGTGGCATGCATGCCATAGGTTCGCCACTACAGGTCTAGGGTTTCCTGCCTGAGCAGGGGGTTGAACTAGATGACTTCCAAGGTCCCTTCCAACTTTATATTATTATTATTATTATTATTATTATTATTATTATTATTATTATTATTATTATTATTATTATTATTATTATTATTATTATTATTATTATTATTATTATGGATCATCGCACAGTCAGCCAGATGTTCAGACTGGATTTGGCATTTTGTCTACCTATCGAGTCCTTACCCAGGACCTGGGATAGGCAGATGTGGATGTTTNCCAGTTGTTTTGGGATTGCACCCAAGGCGCCTATTACTATTGGTACTACCCTTGCTTGCCTTTGCCACAGTCTTTCTATTTCTATTTGTAGGTCTTTGTATTTTGTGATCTTCTCCAGTTCTTTCTCGTCTATTCTGCTGTCTCCAGGCACTGCCACGTCCACTATCCAGACTTTTTTGTCTTTCTTATCGACAATTGTCATGTCCGGGGTGTTGTGTTTCAGGTGCTTGTCTGTTTGAATTCTGAAGTCCCAGAGCAGTTTAATTTTATCATTTTCTATGACTTTCTCTATTTTATGATCCCACCAGTTTTTGCTTACAGGCAAATGATATTTCTTGCAGATTTTCCAATGCACCATTGTTGCTACTTTGTTATGCCTCTGCTTGTAGTCAGTCTGTGCGATCTTCTTGCAGCAGCTTACCAGGTGGTCCACTGTTTCTTCAGCTTCTTTGCATAGGCGGCACTTACTGTCTGTTGCTGTCTTCTCAATTTTGACTTTGTATGCATTTGTCCTTAAGGCTTGGTTTTGTGCATCCAGAAT